ATCTTCTCCATTTTTCTCGGATGATATTAGTCCAAAAAATTAACATCGAATGGCGCCAAAACTTTGCATTGATCAAACGATCGAAAATGCCACCACTCGTCGACTCACCCGCCAAAACCCTACGCATGCGCAGTCGTTTTTCAGCTCTGTCGTTGCCGGATTGTTGCCGCAGAGTTGCGCAGGGTCGTCCGCAGTCACTCGATTCCACACGGTAACGGGGAACTGCAAACTGCAGACTGTAGGTGTAGTCTACTTTTACCCTGCAAGTTTGCCTTATACAAGAGCTTGTTTCAAGATATCACTTTTAAAGTTAATATCTTATCTTTTGTGTGATTTTCTCCTTTTGATCCTCAAGAACCACGGGAGGTTATCCAGTTTAATCCGCAAAAAAGACAGACGTTTTACTTGAGGTGAGCAGAATTATAATGTTTATGCTGTACTTTCTTTTTATTCAAGTTCCTTATATTGCTAGCGGCTTTTTCGCCATTCAGAAATGCCTGCAGTTTACTTTTTACATTAAAATGTACTAGGTAGTTGTTGTTTATGTCACTCGGCTTCCGCTTGTGATAATCACATGATCGACTGTTGTGCTGCACGCAAAACTTGTTTGAGTCTAGTCCATCGATTTTTAACCATATTAACCCTAACCCTGACTGAGAATAAATTAGCATCAAACTAACAGCACTCAGCCGAATAAATAGATCAAAACCAGTGAAAAACTTTCGTGTGGGTTACATAAGAGGGTAGCAAGGCTAGGGGTGGGGGAGGGGAGGGGGTGATCCCGTTTAACAAAAGTCACGAATCACAGTTACTCTTTTAACTGCTCAGAGCAGTGATTTTTTTTAAAAATTCCCATGTCTTTTAGTTGCTTCTTATGCATCACACACTTAAGCTTTGCCCTCATCATGTGTCACACACAAATCCTTTGCTGCCCCTCCCTCATCCATATAAATATCACCTGGGACCGGTGGTGTCAGGAGATACTCTTTGACTGTGTGGCTAGGGGTTCTGCTGGGATATTTGAAATCTCACCTACACCTGACTATATTCCACTGTATTTTGCTTCCCTGTCAACCTAATCCAGCCTGGAAATAATTAGCTTTTAATTGCTGTTTTTTGTTTTCTTTATTTTTTCAGAATTACTAGAAGATAGCTCTTCAGTCTGGGACTTTGTCA